CCAGCCTCTTCAGCTTTGCATCATTTGATCTGGTAAGTACAACATGCAGCTGTATTTACCAGATCATCCCACAACATTCAGCTGGACCTGATAATCTCAAAGGCCTTTTCCAACCTAAATGATTCCATGATATTCTGTACGTGCCCCAGCCTTCCAGTAGTGTAAGAAGTCCCTTACATTCACCACTGCGCAGGGGCACCAGACTGAACTCCAGGGATGAAACACAACTGGGAGCATGGCAGCACAACAACAGAGCAGTCTTTGGGAAGGAGAAAGAGCAGCTTACTCCAAAAGCAGGGATTTCATCCTTCTTCATTTCGTTCACCCGCACTAAGTAGTTGATGAAGTCTCGGGCAGCATTGCTCTGCGCATCCTTCTTGTTGGTAGAGTTGCCCATGCCGACATAATTGAAGCCTTCCACTCGGACCTGCAAGGAACAACACACTGCTCACGTGCAGCTGAGAGGGGCTTGGAGGCCAGCAACACCCAGGGGAACACCAAATCCTGCCTGCTGATAAGTACAGGAGAAATAATATTACTAACTGTTGTTACACGTCATTATATATAACTATATATTTCTGTAAGTTTTTTTAAAGCAAACCCTCGTATTCTGAGAACTTCTCCTCTCAGAGCACAAGGGCTTCTCAAAACTTTGTGGAATAAAAATCAGTGTAGGAAAGGACCTGGCAACATACAGCAGCAAACTCTGCACAAGATCACTTTCCTCAGCCTAAATCCCAAACCCTTGGACAACAAGGACAGGAGTGACCTTCAGCCAGTGTGTCCATTCAGCCACAGCTCCATGTTATTCCAACTACACAGATGTGATTTATTTCTGATATTTTTTATTTACTTTACATCAGCAATTCTATACCCTTGGAGGGTATAGAACTGAAGACAATGGTACCTCTAACCACACAGTAACCATACAGGATTCATTCACAGCCATCCTGCCAGGCTGCAAAAATCAGTAAGAGAGATTCAGTGAGACTGATCCTTTCACTTGTTAAGCTTCCATGGATAATCATGGGGCATCAACATATCCAACCCAGTACAATACTGATATATTGTATAACACACAATATATATATATATATAGTGTGACTTTTTACAAAAAGCATGGAGTGACAGAACAAGGGGGAACAGCTTCACGCTGAAAGAGGGCAGGGTTAGATGGGATATTAGGATGAAATGGTTCCCTGTGAGTTTGGTGAGGCCCTGGCACAGGTTGCCCAGAGAAGCTCTGGCTGTCCTGGAAGTGTTCAAGGCCAGGTTGGATGGGTCTTGGAACAACGTGGGATAGTGGAATATATCTGTCCATGGCAGGGAGTGGGACTGGATGAGTTTTAAGGTCCATTCCAACCCAAACCATTGCATGATTGTGTGAATATATCTATTCATACAACCATTCCATCTGAGTATTGCTTAACCAGTTAAAATACTTTGAAAATTGTTTTAATGACACTGTGCGTCTTTGTTTTCTTACTGACACAGAAGACAAATAGAGGAAGAAAGGGTAAAATGACAAATTTAAGGCATTTAGTGCAAAACCATGGCATCACTCATGAACTGATCTGTGCTACACATGGCCTCACACTTAGTGCCAGCTACCTGTCAGAGCCAACCTAAATTCACAGCTCCCACATCCTCAGTATCTAGAGGCAGGAGTAAGGTACTATTAGAGCTGTGCAGAGTAGCAACCATTGAAACAAGAATTCTTTAACACATTTCATCTCAAGAGCAGACCAAAGCTCTTGGTGAAGGTGACATACAATACCCCTCACCACTGCAAGAAGGGTTGCACACAGTGCAGAGACGCACACCACCCTTAAGTAAACCAATCTGTTTTCCCTGTAAGAACATCATTCGGGATTTTTCCCTCCTTTCACACCTCAGTGCACACCCAGCCAGGACACTCCGGCTCAAAGTACCCCAGCCCTCTCCAAGCCCTTGACTTCCAGTGATTCCCACCCAGGCCGGGCAGGGTCCAGACCCCAGACACGACCCCAGACTCTCGGTGCTGACCCCAGGCTCCTTCTGGCAGAGCCCAGACCCCGGCAGCACCCCCAGCAGAGCCCAAGGCTCCCTCTGACCGAGCCCCAGACCTGCTCCCAGACCCCCGGCACTGATCCCACGTTCCCTGGGCAGAGCCCGGGTCCGGCCCGGCCCGGCCCGGCGCTCGGCATCACCCCGAGACACCCGGCAAAGCCCAGACCCCGTCACGAACATCAGATCCCCGGCAGGGCCCCACATTCCCTCTGACAGGGTCCTCAGACTCCCTGGCAGAGCTCCTGGCCCTGCCGGAGGCGAACCTTTGCTCGCGGCACGGTCCAAACTCCCTCGGGGAGAGCCCAGGCTGCCGTCTCGGCCTCCAGCCCCCCAGCTCAACCCCCAGACGCCCGACAGAGCCCCGGCAACACGCCCAGAGCCCGCCCAGGCTCCGGAGGGTGCCAGTCCCCTCTGTGTCCCCGGCACAGCCCTAAGCCCCCCTCACAGCCGCCCGCCCCCCACAGTGCGGCCAGCCCGCTAACCCCGCGGGGCAGGCCCGCACCTCGCAGAGGAAGGTCTGCCGGCCGCGGCCGCCGGCGGCGCGGATCTCGTAGGCCGGCATCACCCTCCTCCTGCCGCACCAGGCGTACAGGTAGTTCTTCACGTCCCCCATGGCCGGGCCGGGGGCATCGGGGCACGGCCGCCCGCTCCAGCCGGCGCCGGGCCCGCGGCAGCTCCGCACGGCAGCGCCTGCGCGGCGCCGGACGGCGGCCGGGAGGGAGGGAGAGAGGCGGGAGGCAGCGCTGCGGCGGGCTCCTGTCTGAACCACCTTCTTGGCTTGCTGCTCAATAGGGTGTGTTTCTCAAGCGGTTAAAGTCTTTCAGTTTAAACAATCGTTAATTTTCAGTGCTCTCAGTCTTTCTGAGAGACTTCTTTGGAGATGAATGTGTAATACCCTGGAATGAGTGAAATAAAAGAGCTCAGAGGCATAACTGATGTCAGGGAGTTATGCAGGATCCCTTAGGGATCTTTGGGCTCACGATGTTGGTGTGGCTGATCGATCCTGAAGTGAGGATGTAGAAAAGCAGCGGGGTCAAAAAGCCTCCAAATGATGTCTTGCACTTGCAGCTGCCTCCGGAGCAAATCAGCGCGGATCTGAGGAGTGATTTCCTGTACCGTCTGGAGCAGGATCAGGAGTTACAGAGGGTAAGGGTGTGTCCTGTGACTGTCATCCTTGCCCTGGGCTCTTCATTTTCCAGAAGGGCTTGAACGTAACACCAAGTGTAAGAGGCTGGATTTCAGCACCAATGCACAGCACGTTTTCAGAAGTGCTGGATGTTGCACTGGGGTGGATGTGGGGGTGAGTTGTGCTGTGCCAGGAAAAAGTACACACTATGACCTGGTCTTTGCCATTTTTTCCTTTGGGTAAGGGAAGAGTGTAGAAGAGTGAGGAGAAGTATAGATGTGGAGCAGATCAGGCTGAGTTTTGGAGATTTTGGAAATGTCCTGGACTTTTTTTTTTTTTTCCAGATCCAAGAAGAGAGAGAGGCTTTACTTCTGAAGAATTTTGAAAGTGAAATTCTGGACGCAATCCATCACAATTCTGTTGTTGTCATCCGTGGTGCCACTGGTTGTGGCAAAACCACTCAAGTGCTCCAGTACAAACCAGACCTCTCTTCCCTCCTTCCAGCCACTCTGCAATCATTGTTTTCATGAGGAGCAGTCAGGGCATGGGACCCCTTGTGTTTCAGCCACAGGGATCATCAGCCAGCACGAGGGTCAGCCCAGGACACAACAAAATGCACGTTTCAATCTGACATCAGGTGACTTGCTCTGGTGAGACCCTGCAGAGCTGCCTCCGGCTCTGTGGCCCCAACATCAATACATGGAGCTGCTGAATCGCCCCAAACCGGGCCGAGAGACACTTCCAAGCCAAAGTGCAAACCGTGGGTATTTGCTTTACCCAGCGCGCCGGGTGCGCGGGGATCACCCCTCCTAACAGCGCACACAGGCACATGGCAAATTACAATACATGGTTATACTTAATGCACATTCATTGTTTTCCTTAGAAAAGGTGTGGTTATGCAAACTGTTTCTTAGAATTATTAGCGTTAGCACACGCGAGGCGCAGGCGCAGTGCGCCCTGGTGGCCGCACTGAGGAAGGCTCCGCATCCCCCCCGGTGCTCCTTGGACGAAGGCTGGAGTCTTCCTCGCCGTGCCCTTCTCACCTATCTCCTCTAGGCATGGCAGTCTCTTGTTAGCTGTTTCAGCGATTCCTCGCTGGTTTATTTAGTTTTGTCCATTTTATGCAAGTTTTGGTCCCTATTTCTTGCCAAATTTAATTCTGTGTCTTTAGCTTGTGGATTAATATTTGCTGGCTTCTATATTGGTTACGATGTATCTTATTCTTGCCCAAGTGTGCCTAGACACAGTGCTTTTAACCCTTTCAGGAGCGAGTCCAGAGAAGGCCTTGAGGATGCTCCATAGGCCGGAGCCCCTCTGCTCTGGAGAAAGGCTGGGGAGAGCTGGGGGTGCTCAGCTTGGAGAAAAGGAGGCTCAGGTGACACCTCAGAGCCTCTTCCAGTGCCTAAAGGGGCTCCAAGAGAGCTGGAGAGGGACTTGGGACAAGGCCTGACATGACAGGACAAGAGGGAATGGCTTCCCACTGCCAGAGGGCAGGGTCAGATGGGGTATTAGGAAGAATATTTGTTGTGAGGGTGGTGAGGCCCTGGCACAGGTTTCTCAGAGAAGCTGTGGCTGCTCCATCCCTGAAGTGTCCAAGAACAGGTTGGACAGGGCTTGGAGCAACCTGGGATAGTGCAAGGTGTCCCTGCTCATGGCAAGAGATGGAATGGGAACCATTCTAGGTTTCTATGATTGTATGCCTTCCTAACCTGCATAACAGCTTTCTGCACTGCCACATGGAGATGCACAGCTCAATTGTGGCTTTATTTCTGTCCTAAGGAAAAAAATGAGAGAAATACCTGCTTATTAATGATCCAAAACTTGCTGTCACAAAAGATACTTCTTTTTTTAATTTTGCATTAAGGTGTAGAAACACAGAGATCAGACAGAAGCAGGATTTTACATGCACAGACAATATCCCAGTGACTCTGATGAACAGATACCAGCCTGAGCAACCTGATGGTGTCATACTGTTGTTTAAATCCACAATGTAGTGTCCTCATGGAGAGGACAAAACACCATCCAGCTGAGAGTGAGTAGAGACAGATCTTCCTCCTTTCTAGGCAAAAGTCATCAGCCTTCTCCTCCAACAGGGAAAAATTTGCTATTTTTTTATTAAACAATCCCAGTTAGTCCTGGAATGTGCAGAGCTCCAGGGGAGCAGTGTAAAATGTCAGGCACATGTGTCCCAGCAAAGCCAGCCCTGACAGGAAGGGGCTTGGGCACATTGCCAGTTCCCTGAAAGAAATCCTGCCCTTCATGTGGGGGATGTGTTACATGGCAGAGAATTCCAGAAAAGCAACTTCCAGATCGACATGAAGTGAGCATCATACACGTGGCACTTGAGGATGTGGCTTAGTGGTGGACTCAGGAGTGTCAGGTTAGTGGTTGGATCTGATGATCCTAGAGGTCTTTCTCAATGTAACGATTCCATGACTCCATGATCAGTCACCATTAGGCCACACAATGCTGTCCAGCTTGGCTTTGGCCTTCGCGATGAACTCACCGGAGGCAGCAACAAGCGGAAGCCGTGGAGGTCCCATGGGAATGCCAGAAACAGAAGTCATTACAGCTTTAGTCTGTGCAACACCAAAACCTGGGCAGACAAAAGCAAAATCAGGACTTTTGCAGACCATTTTCCTTAAAGCAGCCTCAATACAGGTGTCCAAAAAAGCAGCAATGCAGATTTCTGTGTAATCCAGTATCAACCAGGCTTCAAACACTTCTTGGAGGTGAGAACAGGATAATTGAAAAGAGGTAACTGTGCTTGCAGACAGGAATGACACTGCAGTAAAAATTACACCCACTTACTACATTTATTCATATGTAAGTATCCCCCAATGCAGACTCACACAGAGCCAAGCCTTGGGAGTAGCAACATCCTGCTCTCTGTCCATAGCTCATGACTTCCTATGTACTTTTGGATATTTAGTGTTTACCTCTTTATCTAAAGGCTAAAAAAGAATGCAATTCCTCTGACTTTGAACCCAACAAATAAAACCAGGCTCTAAAGCTTGGTGAGATTCATCAGGGCTTGCATATGTACAGGAAACCCACAGTAAACAGTTCTCTTCACTACATGTCTGATATAATTTATTGTAAACATTTCCTGTCTGTTTCAGTCTCCCTACACCACTCTGTTGGTTTTTAATTGCTTTTTATATTTAAACTTGATATTGTTTCTAGAAATCATTCAGTTTTAAAATGCTTTGGCCTTGTACAGCCTTCAACAAAATTCCTGTTTAATTACAGCAAGGCAGGAGAGAGAAGTATGAGGTATTCTTCTACTTGGGCACCACCATTTCAGAAAAATTACTGTAAAAATAAAGCTGGAAATGAGCTTTTGGAGACAGAAGAAAAAAAAACCTAACAAAAAAATCAACCCACAGAAAGAGTCAGGATAAGAACAAGGGTAAATCACAGAGTCAGAGCTTTAAACCTCTGAGATTTCACAGCAGAAGGAAGGAAGGGAGAGTGGAATCTGTCAGGGATGCTTGGTCAGCTCCCTTTGTTGAGCTCCCAACTGCTACTAAGTTGGGAAACAGCAGATGCAACAGTTTTTCACTGCAAAATCTTTCAGGAAGGAAGTTCTAAGAGTACAGCAACATGAGAGTTTGAGAAGCAGAAAGTTTGCACTTTTAGACATAGTGAGGGAAACAGGCAGTGTTTATCCAGTTTACTTACCCAGTTTGATGACAAAGTTGAGAAATTCCCCAGTGAGAAACTAGAAAAGACCAACAATTATTTATTAACAACCTCAAATTTGAAGGTGTAAAAGCATCTAAAGCTACTACATTTATATTATATCATTGCTTACTTGCATGGATGAGATTAGAGTTGAAGGGTAAGTGGTTAAAAGTTCTTGGTTAAAAGGTAGTGAGGTATGGTCAAAACAGCGAGGAGGGATGAATAATAAAAAGGGGGGTCAGAGATGAAAGAATTTTTCTTTGATAAAGCTGCCTCGGTATGGATGAGAGAATCACATGGAGAACAGCCACAGTAAAGCTCAAAGAGAAAGAAGGTTGCTCCCAGGGATGCCTGGGAAGATGCTATACCTGATACTGCTGTGCCAAGGCAAAGTCTGGCTTTGCAAAGGCTTGCAACATCAGATTGGTTTGTCGGCCCAAATAGTTGTATGTACTGTCAAAAAAACCAACCAAAAATAGAATTGGTGAATGCAAAGAAGGAACTTAAAACCAGTGAAACAAAAGAAGTAACCACAGGCTTTTGCTGTTGACATTGTCATTATTATGAGAGAAATTAGGGGAATTTATGTGGGGTGCAATCTAATGCCAAGCATCTGAAGTATGCCAAGCTCCATGGAAGAATTAAGAGAGCTGATTTCTTTTCCCAGTTCTTTCCAAATGGAACTGCTTTCCAAAACTAAAAATGAAGATACATCATTGGACAATAAGGAAAGTCAATCACTTAATTTTCCAGTTGCTTGTTCATTAAATGGATTGCCTAGATGGGAACACAGGTATCACACGCTAATTCATCTCATCAGCCTGATATGAGGGGCAGAGGATAAATTAGAAATGAAACTCAGCACAGCCCTTTTCCTCACAGACTGCTCATATGAACTAACAATTTTAACCTCTCTGGAATTTGGTTCCTCACCCAATGCAGATAGAAGTGATTACCTACTTCAAAAGTTGCCATGAGGATAAAAAGTACATTGAAGCCTTTGGGTCAGCTTAGAAACCACAGCAATGATCACCCAAAGGAACAAAATCTGAGATCTAGGTTATATGACTGTCCCATCACTAGGAGTGGGGCTAGATTATGTGTCTGTTTGCTTTTGTACATCCCTATCCTGCAAAATCCTCCATTGTTGTGACTGAAAACAGTCAGGGAAATACTATGCAGATAGTGGAAGATAAAACAGCACAGTGTATGTGTGAGGGGAAGGAGTCCAAGACATACTGACCTTCCAACTGCTCCATTTGCCCCTAATGCCAGTGCACCCAACAGTTGCTAGTTTGGGGTGGAGGGAGGAAAAAAAAGTAATAAAATTTCACTTCATGTAATAAAATAAAGGAAAAAAAAAAAGGTGGTGAGAGGGAGCAACAAAACTGCCTTGCACTGCGTGTTCAGGGTTACTTCTTCCCCAAGGCTGAAGCAAGAGAGTACCTTACAAGAAAATACTTTTAAGAGAGGCTTCTTACCTCATCCACCCCATAAAGAAATTCAAACTCCCCTGTTCCATTCTTGTGGATGCACTGTGCCAGGTCCAAGAGGTCCGTGTCACTGAACTTCACACCCTGGAAGGTGGGGATCTGTGCTTTTATCCCATCCAGCAACTCTTCCACACGAACTGTCCAGAACAGCAATCTCATATGAGGGAACACAGGTCTGTTCTGGGACAGTTCCCTGCCTTGTCCCCAAGAGAAAGACTTCATATTTAACAAGTTGTTCACTTTCAGCCTAAGCCCAGTAAAGTGTACAGCTCTAAAACAACAAGTAAGACAACAAAGAGTAAGATTCTTTTCCCAGATCAGAAAAAGTTTAGGAATGAACCAGCAACAACACATTTAAGACTAAATATAAATCCATGCTTTCAGAAACACCATAGAACCTGCTTTCCAGAGCAAATCACCAAAGATCTGTACTCTGTACTTACTCTTCACACCCGTCAGAGGAGGAATGTGATAGTAATAAAATGGCACCTCAGGGGCTTCAGATGCAACCTTCTGTAAGAAAGCAACCAGCTCATCTAGAAGGAAACCAGCAGGGATCCCATAAGAGAAGGAGACCATCCATAGGGAGACACAGTTCAGATTCACAGCACAGGGGCTGTGGAGAGGCCTCAGCTTGTGCACACACACAGCAAGTCATACAAAACCCTTCACATGTCAAAACATTAAATGTGACATAAATCAGGGGAGGATCTTAAGAAAGGCAAAGACAGTATTTCTTTTAAACCAAACCAGTTTCAGCAGCTCCTGCTCATTCTCTTACAGGTGTAACTCAGGCATGCTCTCACATGTGCCAGACCTGTGTGCCTCAGCAGGATCCCTTGTGTGCAACAGAGGACAAGGGATCAAGTTCACGTTCACCTCCCTGGGGTATGGTGCTTTCATATAAACATTTCCAATCAGAATTCATTCAGACAACTTTTAATATTTCTTTTACAACCCCCCACTTCATGTGGTTCTTTTATGTTATTGTCAGGATCTTAAGGACAAAATACTCAGTTTTCAAGTTTTGAGGTAACCTTAGACAGACAGAAACAAACCTGATCACCTCAGTAACAAGAACCACGCCAGTGTATCAGCAGTTGCTTAATTTGGTCAGTGCCCAGCAAGGGTCACCATGGAACCAGCTTCTTCCTAGTGTGGCCCAGATCAAGCATGAACACCAAACCATCCATTCAGAACACAGACTGTTTAACTAGACCATTCTTTCCAAAAGCAATTCTTCTTCTTCTTCTTACAAAAGGCTAACAAAATACATCCCAGAAGACATCCTTCCCATTTCTTACCAGGACAATTCTGCTATCCCTCCTCTTTCAAAAATGCTTCTTGCAGGTTTTGCTTTTCCATTATGGTTGTGCAAACATTATCAGAATACTTTCCAAAGAAAGTACATTACATTCATCCTTTATCTATGACCAGTGTTGGGAGGGCAATAAAAAGGCCTCATCAATCACATCTACTCACCTTTGTTTGTGGGTTTGAAGAAGAAGGGGGCTATGACAGCAATGCCATCAGCACCTATGGCTGCTGCATGTCTTGCCTATAAAAGACAGAGTGGAAGGTATCTGAGTGTAAAACCACTTCTATTTATCACACACAGAGTGAAAAATCTATACACACCAGCTCTTGGCCCTCTGGCAGATTCAGTGCTCCCACATGAATGATCACGTGGTCCAATCTGCACAAAAAAAAACAAATTCAGAAGATTTTGGGGAGGTTTCAGTGATGATGAACTACCAGGCTGCCAGAATTACTTGCTTCAGCCCAGGCAGCCACAGAAGAAGAACCTAAAAAAAAGAGCTGAGCCTGGGCTGACCTGATGACCAGAAACATGGAGAAAATGCTGACAGTGACGAGTGCTGGTGGTGGAAGAAAGAAAACACATTTGTAAACATGAGTCACATGGGACTTCCAGCTGTAGTGTTTGCAAGGCTATCAGGAGGGATGAATCTTAGCATTTTATGAGGAAATTAAAATTAAGACATAAGGGATTTAAGGGGAGGCTGGGAAGCGTAAAGGAAATCAAAGTAATATCTTTACTTTCTAAACCTATTTCTCTGCAAAGAAGAGCTCAGCCTCACAGCAGCACCTTTGACTGCTTGTCTGCTCCTGCAAAGGGAATCCTCCATGCTCCAGTCCATCAACCCCACTGCTGGTTTTCTCCTTTATATCACAGGAGACATGGAAATAAAGGCTGTGGATCTGAAGGCTGTGATCCTTCACCCCAGTTTACTTCTCATTATCCTTCTCCCCCTAAACACCTCCTCCTCTGCACATCCTCTGACCCAGCATCCAAGAGAAAGGCAGCAGTGAGGGGTACAAGGCTGTGACTGGTACAAGAAAGGGAGAATGAAGCTGCAATTGGATTCACAGCTGCAGATCCAGACTGAATTCTTTCTTCTGTTACTAATTCTGTACCTTTAGGGAAGCAGTTAAGTGCTTCACACATCAGCTTCAGTCACACCAAATAATGCAATACATTAAAAGGTTCAGAAATACTCTTTATTTGCATTTCTCCTCAAGAGGAAGCAAAGGGGACAGCCCTTCTTTCCAAAGCCCTGTCTCATCCTCCCACCTCCCAGGGTACCAAAGAGAAGGACTCTCACAAGCTCTCTAAGCAGCAGGAACACACACCAGCTAACTGGCAGTGGCAAAAACATACTTCTGTGACAAAGGAGCTGAGGAACAAAGCCCAGCAACACAATATTAAAAAAAAAAAAGGCATCAGCACACTTCGTTTTGCAATCAGGCATTATTATAACATAAGATCTGGAACCCCCATTCCCTCTCAGTTACTTACTTGTCCTTTCCCTGGCACATCCATTCTTCTGCCAACTGCTTCCTCTCCTGGATGCTAAGGGATAGGCCTTCTCCTGTTGTGCCATTCACTGTTTCAACACAACAAAACACAACACACTGGTGAAGCCTCACCTACACACATCGGTTTCACTGAAGACAAGAACTAACATTTTTGAGTTGGGATGATTCAGATCAGTCTTCTCTGTCAACACAACATTATCCATTCATCTCTGGGAATGTCACCTTATGAAGGCACCTTATTTTTTCCCCCACAGAAATGGGGTGTGGGCAAAACCAGATGCCTGCAGTCTTTCCATTGGTGAGTAAAAATGGCCAGCATGATCCCACATCCACATTCCCTCCCACTAGAGCTCCTATCAGGTAAGATATCACAGGACACCCATCCGGGTAAAAGGGCTGTGACACAGTTTCTGTCACTTACCAAAAACGTTCTTCACATTCTGCTCGTTTACCAGGTAATCCACGTACTGACGAATCACCGGGAGGTTTATTTTTCTGCAACAAAAGGAACCACAGCAGCCATTAAGTCCCCACCCACTCACTAAGTTTAAGCTATTTTAAACTTAGTGATTAAGAAACCAAAAAAAAACCCCATGTATTTTGAAGCCTTGCATTTGTACACACACAGATTACCCAGAGGTAAGAAATCCTTGACATCTGTTTAACATCTGAAGGTGGCAGCTCAGCCTTGAATTCTCTCTTGCAGTTTCTCTTCCTTCTGACAAGTAGTTCACTGTTCCAAACTTTTATTAGGAATTGCTGCAGGCTTGTCAGAGCAAAGAGTTTTTTAGAAGATGTGAGAGAACAGGAGACACTAAAACCTCTTCCTCTTTTGAGGGAAACAAGAGTTCTCTTGAGAGCATAAAGTTATTTGTGCAAGTGCTGGCAAATGGTTAAACTGCTGGATGGTTGTAACTGCTGGATACAGAGAGGGAAACGGCATCCGCTGGATGTGACTTTGACCTCTCTCTCTCATTAAAGGATGAGGAGAGCAACAGAATTCCCCAGCAAGAGGGGAAAGAGAATTCTTGGCTTATCTTCTATGCAAGACAAACTTGTTTTGTTTACTAGTGTATCATTTTTCACTGTTGTTTTCATTTGTCAAAAATACAGACCAAACCTATGGTCTGGAAGTCAATTCTGATGCCTTGATAGGTTGTACACAACATCCAAAATTCCACAGATACCTTCCCAGAACATATCTGACAAGGACCATGCAGTCCAGGCTCAGGTCACTCTCTAAATACCATGTTGCAATAAATTTGAGTCATAATAAAAAAAAATAAAGAAATCAGAAGCAAGTTTCCTTTAAAGCAAGAATCAAAGCAGTGACTGCAATGGAATGAGTTCCCTGACTGGGATGGAGGCTTATTTTTCAGCACTTGAAGTAAAGTTCATTTTTGGAGATCTGTAAGGGCAAATCTCCACTGTCTCTCTCAAAAGCATGTACAGATTCTGGCACAGCCCCCATGAGAGCTCAGGGCTCTCTGCTGACTCCAAACAACTTGGTCTTGCAACACCAAAATGCAATGAGAAGGCTTCTGTTTGCCACGCCTGCTCTGAAGAAAGCTGAATTTCAAGTTTCAATTTGATGTTATTTTCAGAACCGTGCTGTCCTTGCAGTATTTTCTTCAAGTTTAGACTAATTTCATGCACTCATACACACATGACTGCATGCATGACTTAGCTAAGATAGAGAGAAGTCTAAAAGGCCTTCAGATTCTGACAATTATTTTCTAGCTCTTGAGAGCTCTTTGTAACCAGGACTGTAATTTTCCTTAACAAATGTGAAAACACTGCAATGCTTTACACATGTAACTGTGCTATGATTTAATTTGCAAGAGAAAACAAAACAACAGAAAAGCAGATATGAGACTGATCCAAATTCTCCAAACCCAAAGCCATAGTACTTGCTGGCAACAGAAGGAAGCAGAGACAGGGGAATCTCACTCTGGGCCAATTTAGTAATACCCCCAGTCCCATCAGAGATTGATTTTAAAAAATTTAAAAAACAAACAAACAAAACAAAACAGGCAGGAAAGCAAGAAAGCAAGCAGACCAGTTCCAAATAAGAAAGAAGGAAAATAGGGGTGGAAGGAAAGAATAATCAGTGCAACTTTGACAGCTCACCCATCCGGAGTCATTGGAGTGATGGTAGCAGCTACGAGACCCTTTAACTTCTTTCGGGGTGCCATCGAGCTGTTTGTTAAAAAAGGTATAAACGGGATTAGCATATCTTCTGTGGAAGGGTCCAAGCCCCTTGGGCCGTGCAGCCGGGCCCGCCGGGCAGGAGGGCGGTTCTGAGAGCGGCCCGAGCCATTCCCGGGCAGCGGGCGGCGGGGGCTCTGCCCGGCTCCCCCTCACCTCGGCCAGCCGCCACTGCCCCGCGGGACCGGCCAGGAGGCGGGGACAGCGGCGGCAGCTGACAGCCGCACAGCCAGCCCTGCTCAGCCCAGCCCAGCCCTCCTCCATCAGCCTGCCCATGTCCAGCCCACCCCCTGCCTGCCCCGCGGCCGCCCGTGGCCCCTCAGCACTGCCGCGACCCCCACGGGCTCCTACTGCCCATGCTCTGTGCAAGAGATAAGGCTGCTTTGAGGTATCCCTAATTATCTGCAAACTTCGAGATAAAAATAAATGAATATTTCAATAATAATAAATAACAGGATGGAGACAAAATCTTGGAATTATTTGGGTTGGAAGGGACCTTGAAAAGTCACCCAGTGCCACCCGCTGCCATGGGCAGGGACACCTTCCACTATCCCAGCTTGCTCCAAGCCCTGTCCAGCCTGGGCTGGGACACTTCCAGGGATCCAGGGGAGCCACAGCTTCTCTGGGCACCCTGTGCCAGGGCCTGCCCACCCTCACACAGAGAAAGCTCTTTCAAATATCTCACCCAAACTCCTCACAGTCCTGCCGAGGTGCTGGAAGCACTCCCAATAACAGTGCAGTGTCCCTGCTCTGGGACAGACAGACGGATCCATGTCCCTGTGTGAGAAAGGCAAACGGAGCTCAGGCTTTCTGCTCCTTGCATGCAGCCCAACATGTGGCTTTACCAGATGCGTGCACTGTGGGGTGTGGGCTCCATGGCAGTCATGCACAGCACAGCCCTCCCCATCCCACCAGAACTGCAGCTGGGCCAGCCTTCCAATCTGCTCCCAGCAGACTACTAGCATCCCCTAAGACAAGGTACTGCCCTGAACAGATCCATAGCAATAAACGTCCAAAAATATTTTAAAAAATTGTCTTTAGTGTGCACTTTCAGATCTTCCATTAGAGCGTGTTTTGAGAGCACCCAGTGCCTGCAGAGAGAACAATCCCCTGTTGTGTGATTCAGGAGCACATTTCCCACGGATTCACACAAGAACCTCAGGAGTTTGGGGCTGTGGTATTCCTCCTCCACCCCAAAATATGCTCACCGTGGGCTGTTTGCATGCAGAGATCACCCTCTGGGTTTCTGCCTTATTAACAGCTCCTTACAAAGCACATATATTTCCCTTAGAGGGTCATCTTGTTCCTCCAGAAATCCCCTTTCTCTACACTCCTTCATTCCCACAGGTAATTCCTCTTTCTCCAGGCTCAGTAATTCCATTTCTTGTAACCTCTGCCACCTCCCCAAATCACCAGTGTATTTCTGGAAGTTCACAGACAATCCAGTGCTCTACAGAGCCATTTAGAGGAAGTCCTCAATATTTCTTTAGTATTTTAATGCAATTTTAGTGCTACTTCATAGTGTTGACAGCACAGGAGAGAAGCTTTAGAGTAGCCTGGAGAGGTTTAGAGCTACTTAGAACCCGGCAGGAGTCACAGATTGGCATAAAAGGGTTTTAGAGCTGTTTTGAGCTCCTCAGAGGAATTTTAAAGCCACCTGCAGGAGTTGAGAGTTGTACAGCAGAGATTTAGAGGCATTTTAGTTGCATTTAAAGACATATTAGTGGTGCTTACAGCAATATAGAGCAGCTTTAGGTCAGTTTAGGGGAGCTCTGAGGTGCCGAGTCGAGGTTTAGAAGAGCTAAAGGAGTTTAGTGCTTTACAAGAGTTCTGGCACATTTCACAGAGCTTTAGGGCTGCTTAGAACACTCTGTAGGATGTTTAGACCAACTTAGAGCAGTTCAGAGTGGTTTTAGAGGGCTTCAAAAGAGTTTTAGCACTAAGCAGGAATTCCAGAACTGCAAAAAAGAGTTCTAGAGCAGTTGCAAGGAAACTGAGAAGGGCTTGAGATCTCTTTTGAAGCATTTTACTACTACTTTAAGCCTGTTCTGAGCAGCCCTAAAGTCCTGTGCAATGTGCCAGAACTCTTGTAAAGCACTAAACTCCTTTAGCTCTTCTAAGCCTCTTCTTGGCATCTCAGAGCTGAGAAGTTTCCTTCAGACTTTTTGTTGTTGCTATATTAAATTTTCCATTACTTTCCAATACACTGACCACAACTTAGCACCCCTGTCCTTTACTTCTACTTTCCCCAAATCACAGTTCTCTCTACTTATATACAGCTTTTACATCTCAGCTATCACATTTCTCAAGGGGACTTCTGGTTTGGTATAATTACACTACAGTCTTGCCTCTTTTTCTCTGCAATAAACAAATGCATCCAGACATCATTTTCTTTCAAAGACAGACCCAAGTCTATTTCCAGAGAAATATGAAGTACTGAAGCTTAAATGAAAACTCAGAAAGCCAGTACCTGCTAAAGTGATGAAATTCTGTTAAATACCATCATGGCTGGCTGGTATTCAGAAAATCAGCTGGGGAGTTGATGTGATATCATTATGTATGTATGTATGTATGTATGTATGTATCTATCTATCTATCTATCTATCTATCTACCTACATTTACTCTACTCTCAATGTAAACGTGCAAAAATCAAAATACATACTGACCTCCTGGATATGAAATTTTCATTTTAAATTATTAAGTTTGCCGTTGATTCTACCTGAAAACTTGCCACTTTAACTGTTCTAGAGCTAAGCATAACCTGGAAGATTTTCCTAACTTAGCATTTTCTTAACAGTCTTACACAGACATTCCCTGACAGGGAGTCAGAACTATAAGCTCATTAAAGTCCCTTCCAACACGAAGTTCTATAATTCCCTGACTCAGGTTGCTGTGTCTGTCACATGAAAGATGTCTTAACATGCCAAGTTATTAATTTAATAGCTGTTAAGATGCTTTCCCATTAGCAGTCAACAAGAACATAATCCAATTTATGTCTCTGGAAATAGAAAGAACTATAAGGGTGCACTGGAGCCCAAGTGACCACTGGCAGCCAAGAGAGGATCAGGGATGTTCCTCTTCAAGGAAAGCTCACCTCTGAACACAGCCAACAGTGCCACCTGCTGCAGAGTGCAGCATTGGCTCATTCTGGGAACACACAGGAAGAGAGAGCAGGCTCTTGAAGAATCCATCTCTGAAAACCTCACTCACATCACCTAAAGAAGTGCTCACCAAAACCCCACACCCACTAGCAATATCCCCACTGTTAGATGATGGGAGAGTTCTGATGTGAACCACACTCATGCCAGTAAAAGGAGGAAGAAGCTTAGGAGACAAACCCTCAGTTCCAGTTACCTCTTCATGCCTTTTTGGAAGTGGAAATTATTTTAAGGAAAATATTTCTTTAACATATTAATTCATTCTCTCTGAGCCTGTTTCCATCATGTCTGGACGTGTTCTCCTCAGGCTCCTGAGACTACATAGGGAAATCCTGAGCTCTCAAGGGCAATTTCTGCATATTAGGGTCTTTTTCAGGCACGTGGGGCTGTTCTCACAATTTCAGAACAACCCCTCAGCAGAGTCAGGAGCTTAACTCAGGTCCTTGGCAGAGGATCTGCCAGGTGGTCTCAGTCCATGCAGCATATAGACTGGAGTAGGCTGAGAAATGAGAGAGAGAGGGAGAGAGGAAGGGAAGGAGGAGGCCAAAGCAGGTAAAGAACAAGAGAAGGAAAAGATCACTTTAAAACTCTGGGAAGGGGGATCAAAGAAAGAAAATGCAGAGCCCACTGTGCTTCTGCCCAGACAGCTGTTGCCTCTTCAGAGCTGTTTCCAGATAAGTTGTATTCTGTCACATTTTAGACTTAAGTCTCTTCAAAACCATTTAAAAAAGCAAAACCAGCAATGCAATAAATTTGTGTCAAGACTTTTTTTCTACCAAGCACTGTTACCTCTTTCCCTTTATGAGACATTCCTATCTTGAAGATAAAAACTTACCTTTTTTCACGTTCTTGTTTCTGAGAAAAATCTGTCAATGACAGAACGTGGATAATTTGTAGGGGAAGATGAATTCGTTTCCTCTCAGCACTCAGAGAGGACTGGAAGTTTCTGTGGATCTAGGTAACTTCTTTCACTGGCTAAAGTTTGCTGAGACAATTGCTTGTGGACTTCAGTTTCTAGCTAGATCCCAGAACAGATCCATAGTAAAAACAAGCCCTATTGTAGAAATAAACCAGTGAATAAAGCAGTATATAAAGCTGAAATAGCTTCTCTCTGGGCTCCATGCACAGAAGACAGGAAGGTTTAAGAATGTTTTTTATGGCTGCTGGAAGCAAGGATTCATTTAGGATTAATTCCCCAAACCTGGAATGGTTTCAAAATGTGAGCTTCAGCAGAGAAATCCTGGAAAATGCCAAGTCAGGAGTGCTCTGGAGTGGTGTTTGGTGTAGGAAGCTTTTTATTTGGCCTACAGCAGCCAGTTCTATGTGCTCTCTGATGAAGTGAGCACAGAATCACTCATTCATCAAGATTTAGGTAACACTGTCACTGAGTAAGCAGGAAGATGCAGTAGTTTCACATCACTTGTAACAAACTAGCTGAAATCAGGCAAAAACATGGACAAAATCCACATACACATTTCCAGAAAGCAGATTATTTTTGGCTGGAGGTAAATCCAATGGTAACAAATTCCCCTGATGATATGAAATGTGTAGGTCAGAGCAAAAGGCCTAAATACCACCTCACTGCAGTTATGGCATAGATTTCCTTTCCACAATTTCTAACAGCAGTAAGGAACCTCCTTGGAACAGTACTACAGTACATTCAACTGCTACTTTAGAAGATGGTGTGTTTCTGCTTGTTCATTTTCCATGCTGGGAGTGAGAATATGATATAAAATGGAGGCTTTCTTTAGAGCAAGGAGGTAAGAGGCTTCTTTTGGGAGATGAATCTGCAGTAAACCACAGTTCATCTAACAACATAAAAGGACACTGCTGCTGCCATGGACAGTAACTACAGTCACATCACATGCTCAAGCCCTTTACTGTGAAGTGAGGTTTCTGCACCATCAGATGAGCATATGTTTACAAAAGTAAAGACCATTTATATGTGGAGAGACTCAATTATTTTCAATTAAAATACTT